GAGAATCATCGAGCTGACATTTTGTGAAGTGGGAACGTGAGATGAGAGGCTGCTACGCCATAATTAGAGACTGATTCAAGGCTATAGGACTGGAGTGATCATTGAAATCATTTGCATTTTGCAAAGCATGTAATTGGATACTAGGTAGGTATACATACCTAGTTAGATTATTGACTTGATTTTATAACATGAGTTACAAAGGACATGCGTTATTTATCTACTTTCCTGGTTCACCAGCATTCAACGGTGATCATGCTAGCTTACACTGGAATCTCAACTCTGTTATGTCAGTCTGCTGGTTCTATCTGCTCGATAGATAACCACAATTCAGCTGAATGGCCAAACTGGACCGTCCCTATACGCTTACATTGCGGGCGAACTTTTATTTCCCTACAAAGCTTTTGGCCTGCCCTTGGTGTAAACGCGGCCTTATCAGAGCTTTAGCGTTTGACTACGGTCTTTAACGAGCTTTAGTCCCAGTCGTCATGACTGAAAGGAAGTTTAAAAAGGGATGTTTGTCTTCTTTATCGGTTAGCGGCTCGACCCGGGTCCTGGGTTAGTAGACCAAGTTTCCTCAAACGATACTCGATTACGATAGAGCCAGCTTGTGATAATGGCTTTCAATGGGCCATGGGTTGAATTCCACTCATGTTCTTGTTTATACACTTCACACTTCACTTCACATATACCTACCTAATTTGTGTTTGCTTATTTCCTTCATTCTGTCTCTACAAAACGGTGGCAATGCTTAGACGATAATCATGGTACCGAATATCAAGTTCAGGCTGGTCTATGCATTGAACACTTGCACATTGCGTTATATACCTTATATATAACCGTGCCTACCAAGCATGGTCAAGCATCAGCAGCCACTGAAGGGTCTCCGCGCCACCACCAGTGTGCGGCTTCCGGGCCGACCTGGCCAAAATCGATCCCCCAACCCTGCCGACACGCTGCCGGCGGCGCCGGTCAGTCGGCGGGGGTCGCAGCGAGGGGCCGGTTCCTCAGAACTCACACCAAGTGGCCCAGTCAGTTCCAAACTGCTTAGCGCCCTGACCAGTTACAACTGCTCAGAGACCCGGCTCGGTCAGCTCAGGGCCGGAGGGGGCGCCGGTCTCGCCTGGGCTGTTGTGCCTGACCGAGTTTTACCGCGGCAGTCTGTCTCTGTAGTGGCGAAATGTCACCGGCCTGTCACATACCTAGGGCAGGCGTCTGGCGACGCCGCTGCAGTTCTGCATCGACAGGGATCTATTTTAAATGAGCTAGGCGCTGAGCTATGCCAACTCTGAGCCTATGCAATATGTGGTGCGCGAGGCTCTGGTGATGGTATTTGATTGTGTGCTACTGGCCTCACTTGTGTCTTGCGCCTTTTAAATTATAGGTTTCCTTTTTATTAAAGATGCTTCCGCGTGTTCCCCTTACCGTCCTATATTAAACCAGGATCAACAAAACTCTGTGCATTACTGGTGCTTACACGCTGAAGCAATAGACATACATGCGTAACATTTATAAACCATGCTTCTTACATCGGTAGCCGCTTTACGCTTTCGCCTTTTACGCTAACCTTGGCCAGCGCTCTTTCTCTGTTGTTCCGGTTATGTGCCCCAACTATCCAGATCAGATCAATACGGAGCCCTACGCAGCTCCGAGTGGGTCGTATTTTGACTGGTCGTTGTCTGCAACAGAAATGAGCCGCTCAGAAATGTGTGCCTCCACTTGACTGGCTAGATATAAAACGTCCAAACGGAAGTGTTTTCTGAGCCCGTCACCATGCCTGATTAGGGTCGCGGGTTTCCGCTTTGTTGTGATTGTTTTGTCGTGTGTATAATGTTTGCTTGCTATAACGCGACGGGTAGCTGGCCATTGGCCACAACTATCTAACACCTCGTGTTTTTGTTTTGTTCCAGCTTCAGAATGAACCTGTAGCAAAGCCCCGGCAGCCACCAACCAAGCCGGTGAGTACAGGGGCTCCATTCAGGTAACAGTAGCCCTCTGGCTACTCCGTGCTCACTGCTTGTTGCTGGTTAAACACGACATTCATCCATATTTATCCTAATTTAGGCAGGATGGCTGTTTTTACTGCCACCACCAATCGCCATTCTTTTCCATTGCGGGGCACTTTTATTTCATTGCACTCTTAAACCAACCCGACGTGACCGCTAAACCCTCTAACCGGTGCACGATGGCGTAGAGTACGCCTCTACTACCATGATCGCCAATAGGCTCGGTACACGCTCGGTTCCAACGTAATCCGGCATGCAGCGGTGCTAACGCGGCAGCGATTCGGCTCAGGAATGCCGCTCAGCAGCCGTCGATAGCGCTCTGTCCCAGCCGAGCGAGCGGCGGAGCGGTCTCCGCGCGTGTCTTGGCGGCCGGCCACCGCGCCGCGCCGCGCCGCGCGCTGACGGTCCGTCCGCCGCTGATCGCTGACGGTCCACCGCTGACCGCTGACTGCCCGCCGCTGACGGTCCGCCGCTGACTGTCCGCACTGCACCCGTCAGCAACCAGTCAGACCGCCACCATGACCATTGCGCGCCGCGGTGACCGCTCCCGGCGGCCGCCGTCTCCGGGCGGGCGGGCCGCGTCGCGTGCCTTACCGTAGCGGTGATGGTGGTCGACAGCGGACATTTGTCGTCGAGAGGCCTGGCCGGGCCGGTTCGCCGGCCTCCGCGCTGGAGATCAGATGGAGGGAGGGGAGCACAGCCGGACAGTCGCGTGCCGTCCACCTCACTCCGACACTGATGCATTATTCAGTTCAGCTGTTGCAGTAATCTGGGGATAACACCGAGTATTTGGGCGAGTTGAAGCGAAACTGCAGCGTGGTGTTATCACGCCAGAACCTCTCGCGAAAACCCTCACATAAAAAAATGTTGCAATGCCTCTACAGGCAGTATTTGATGTACTCCTCCAAAACGTTCCTTTCCATAACCTCATGAGCTGGAGCAGCCTCTGAGCTTCCTGCTGGCTCAGCTCTCGCTCACCTGGCACGCCTGCTGACGTCCATTCGCTGACGTCGATTGGTTCGTGTCAAAACAGTTCTCGTCTCTGACATGACTGAATTCCCGGGTTCGCTGAGGGCGGAACAGGCGACTGGCCAGGAGGATCTCAGCACCGCACACAGCCGCTATTTGAGTTCGGAAGTGGCCAAAATGCGATAACTCGTTAACCAGTTGACATTTTGCCAAGGAATTTTTATTGTATGTGAAGTCAACCGTAAGGTCACATATGGGAACGTATGAGCATCCATGCTGCTACATCATTGCCGTAAAAAAATATTTTTGCTTGTAATCGCGGATGACGGGTATATCCCATAACGTGGGTGACTCGGGAGGGGATTCTGCATAGCTTCCCTGCTGTCTTCGAAACTACTCGTTCAATACTAAAAGTTCAAACGGCTTCTGATAGGAATAGCTGACAAACGAAACCTAACTTTGTCACAAAAGGGTCATGGAAAGATCATGGGTCACAAAAGGTCATGGAAAATGTCATGGAAGGAAATGTATACATTTTTAAGGTCATGCGACACATCTTTAATGGTCCATTTCGGCAAAAGCATCTAAAATGATGTCATCTGGGTCGTCCGATTCGAAACTATTTCCATTCGACAAATGAAGGTCAGGTCACGGCGAGGTCAAAAAGGTCAAATTTTGAAGTTGAACATTCTCAACAAAAAAGATGTGCATCGGATGCAATTTGAGCTCTGGAACACGATGATGCTATTCGTTTTGGTTTGCGATGTCAAGAACGTACTGAAATTGCCTTAACAATATCGAAAATTGTGATTAACCGACTACGGTAAAATACAAAAGTCGATAACATTGCCATTTCTGAAGTTATCTGACTGAAACTTTCCAAAAGCAATGCAAATGTTACATACAAAAGCCAATAAGGTTCATTCTGGTCGATGGCTGCTCCCCAAAACTATGAATGTTATCAATCATATCGGACATTCTTACGATGTTCTGTTGGCTGGATGTCTTTTTGCTTTATTGAATTTGATCAGACTACATTCAGTTAAGACGACGTACATTTATTGGTCACCAGAAAGTATACCCACAAGTCAATCGGCAATCGACAATCGACAACCAACAAATGCAATCGACACGAGCGTCGAGCACCCCTCAGCACAAACAACTGCCGGGGGCGGTAAGACGGACCGCGCTCCTCTCTCGCAGCTGATTGGTCAGCTGCCGAACCGCACGGACGTCTCGCACGCCTGACCGGGGTCGACCGGGCGGCGACCTAGCGTCACTAGAACTGCAATAACTTTTGCCGGCAGTGTGATGCCGACCTAATTTTTTCAGCAAATGGATCACAATTGTACAGTATATGTTATGGACGTTGTCTCGATGTGAAGCACGCTGTGCGTTTTTTGGTAGGCCTATGTAAATATTGAAATCCTCAAGCCCTTCTGCTTTGTGCAAGTGTGCAACAATTAGCTTACAATAACTGAGTGGGAAGTTTTTTAGATGCACTATTGTTACCAATGGATTCCGCACATTTTCCCCTTTCAGCTGATATCTTACTTACGCATTTTCAAGCAAAGAATATGACAGGAGACTCGTCAACATTTACATGAAAATCGCAGCACAAGTTCGGTCTCACGGAGCAAAACAAAACGGTGTACTTGAGGAGCCCACCAATCTGTGCCAGAATGAGTAATATTTTTTCTGGATGATATTTTATACAGTCTGATCAATTTACGACCAGAAAATGTGAGAAAATCACGCTTTAAAATTTGTCGAAAATTAGGGTATTGGCCACTTCTGAACCCGGATAGCGGCTGTGTGCACCGCAGTGACAGACCGGATCGCGCGCGATCACGATAAACTCCGGGGTCGGTAGCGTCGTGACGTGAGCGGCGGCGGCGCTAACTGCCCCGGTAGCTGAGAGGGAGGTGCCTCCGCATACCGGCGGTCCAGTGGCGGCGCTGGCGGCGCTGACCGCTGCTGTGTCCATCTGGGGACGGGTTAGCAGCGGCCCGGTCCAGGCGGCGCGCCAGTGCAACCGCGGACCGCGTGCTGCAGCGAGCGGTCAGCGGACGGCGCGTGGTGCAGTGGCGTCGACAGGAGCCCACCTGTGTCTGTGTTCTGGTGTTCAGGGGTGACGTGAGGCTCAATACTCCGTGCAGTGAGTGTCGCGTGTGCAGCCGTGTGATAATTTCCTGGACAGCACGCGAGGCGTCCATAGCGAGGACGGGCGAAACAATGCAGCGAATGTGATGATGGCTCTGAAAACTTTGCCGATGTGTAATGTGTGAGCATGAGCAGTGCAAGCCACCTGCGTTTCTCACTAATGGAGAACCACATATGAGACACCCGGCTCTGCAAAGTGTGATGAAGTCAGCGAAAACTGGCATGTCTCCGTTGCGACAGGCGATGCGGTGACGCTTTAGAGGTGCGGCGTGCGACAATCGCCGAGCGACGGCCTGCTAGACACCACCACTGAGCGACAGACAGTCGCCGCGCTGCGCGACAATCGCTGGGCGACTGCCGCTGTCCTACAGTCGCCGCGCTGGGTGCCAGCTTCGCCGTGCGACAGTCGCTGCGCTGGGCGATAGTCGCCGCTGCCGCGCGACAGTTGCCGTGCGACTACGGCCGCGCCGTGCGACAGCCGGTGGGTGCTCACGAATCAGCTTCGCGGGACCGTATCCACCAGATCAATTCTGCTATCTAATCAGAGTGCGGCTGGCGGCCGGATGGTGGCGGCCGGATGGCGGTGCCCCCAGCTTAGGTCGATGTGGGCCAGTGTAGTGAGGTCGCCCGTGGTGTCCTCAGTGTCGGTTAACAGCCAGAGCTGTTTGGGGAGAACTGAAAGCCGGTTACTGGTCAGAAGACAGGGAGTGTGCCTAATGAGAAACAAGTGTTAGTGACGGACTCGATTAGCTAATCTATACGTGATTTGGCCGTATGCTCAGTGATCAGTTACGAGCATTCGCTAAGTTGAGCGATCAAAGTGAAAAACGCACTGCTGATCGAAAGCGTTCCAAATGAAGGCAGTGATACGCTTGACAACACTGTATGGAGTGAGAACCTGAACCGTGATGGTTGCGTCAGCATAACTTTCAATTTATGGCCATATGTGCGAATTAATTAAAGCGAACTGAAAGCAGACAAGGGACATCTGCAATAGCAGCATTAACATTACTTCTGTGGACCAGTGCTGCCGACACAATCCCGTGGCATTTCATTGGAAACTTCCTTTTAGCGGTAAGTTTTCGGTGAATTTCATTCACAACAGGCTGCAGAGTGCTTAGTACGAGAATGTCGTCATTCATTACCTGTCATTCATGTCGTTCATGGTGTGTTGTATCAGGAAAATTCCCTTTTTACGTGCAGCCACCGTTGCGTGAGACGTGTGGCGCCATTACCGCGCACGGCGACTACCGTTTTCCATTCAGGGGACAATGCTGTGCTATTTTTGCTCCGTTCTGCCATGTGCATACATGGGTGCATCGATCTTGGCATATGTGTCAAAGGCACCGTATTTGGGCATTAGAACATACGATTTTACTTCAACAGTTGCACTATTGCGCTCACATTGCACTGGCACAAGCCTCATAAAAAGATGCTGAAGCATGGGGATATTGAAAATATTTCTATGGAAACGTTTACCAGAGCATGGGATGCTTACTAGACAAACCACCATGCAGTGTGGTTCAGAGCTGATCTGACGCGGAGTTTGTTGTCAGTTCAAGCACACAGCTTGTCAATTTATCGTCAAAGGCGTTTTATCGTGGTTTTCATCACTAGGACGGATGAGGAGCTGAGTATTGATCTGGCACTGTGCTGGTGATGTGTTGGATATATCGTGTTGGTAATTGGGCATAAGAGTACCCGATTACCACCAAGGGATACAGGGGTACGTTCAGCTGCATCCGCACCCCGGTGTTTTTCATGCCTAAACGGGTGTAGCGGCGACAGTGTTCACTAATGCAATCACTCCCTGCATTGGTCAAATGGCGCCTCACCCGCTCAAAAGCTCAAACGGTCTCATTGACAGCTGCATGAAAGATTGTGGCGATAAATGCTCCTAAGCTCCCTGACTAATGTTGGAAGCTGATTCCGTCGTGACTTGGTCGTCGTCAAGGTCTTGGAGATTACGACACAGTTACCAGCATGCGCTATGCGTCGTTTAATCTTTTAATGCCTGCACAGGTAAAAGAAATGCTTCCGCACTTACGACAAAATTAACAGAATAAGTCTGCTGTTTGTGCTTCTGAAATCAGATTGACTTTTCATTTCGTGTATAATAATCGAATTGATGTCAAGAAAATTCACAAAGTCGTTTGGGAATGACACTGCTATATTTCGCCGTAAATTTATTGCCAGACGTCAATGTCCAGAAATGTTGTCCTATTGAGAAAATACAACTCATCCACATTTGAAAACACATATTGATATTGCAATATTGTAATTAAAGTGCTTACTTTAAGACAAATGGCTTAACAATTAAGTGCTTCTTAATTTTTCCAGAGGCGCTACTTTACACTAAAGAACGGTTCATGCAGTTCATTCCATTGAGCCAGTACCGTCCACAGCATTGAAAAGCTGACGTGGTAGCCGACCCTCGAGTGTTTCATTCAGCTTCTGCCGTGACCGCTGGGCGTTCGGCGTTATTGAGTTGGACTCGGTCGTGACTGAACCCATAACTCTGTCAGCATGACGCCAGAGATTCACCGATGACGGTCTACCAGTCATGCACGCAGCTCCATACACCACACCTTCTCAGTAGACTGTTGGGTTTTTCTCAGGGACTGCTGAGCTATTTACGGCACTACAAAACGCTATTAAACCGGCAGATGAATGATTGTGAAGTCATTTAACTGAAACGTAAAGGAAAATCTGTGTGGAGTTGACTTACCGATCGTCAATGTGGTTTTCCTCTTTGCGAGAAGGTAGCACACGATATTTTATAACCTCATGTTTTTGGTTTGTGACTATAGCACTAGCAACCAACTCATGACGGTAGCATAATGCCGGGCTCAATCGGAATTTGTTTTACGTGACGTTCAATTACTTTTTTGTAATTTAATTGCTTCTTGGCCTCTCTTTGAAATATTGATGTAACGTTGTATACCCGTTGCTTCAGTAGAATGACCCGATTTGCAATTTCAGTCCATTAACTTTTTATTGGTATTTTGTTCCTACATTTAATACCTACCCATCACTTTTATGGTGTGCTGTGGTAGTTACACATTGCAGCCTGCAACCTTGAGCCCCTAACTTCCCCATGGATCAAAATAAAAAAACGCAAAAAGTGTTCAGTCAGAGCATATACCTACTCACTATTGGAATGTGTCTCTCATTTAAAAACGACATGTCTATGAGGTAATGTACGTAATGTACGTTGGTCATATTTTTTTGGGAAAGTAATCCTGTTAGCGCTAATGGCAATGCGTTACCATGACGTACGGTGACTATTCCTGATCTCATTAGCCACGTTTTGGCAGAAAAAGCATGGGCATCCCACTTCCCAGTCTAGCTGCGAATGTCTCAATGTCTCAAAAACAAATATTTTCACTCCTGAACATAGCACAAAACATCTTTTTATCTAAAAGTGCAAGCAATGCTACACTTGAGAGTAAGGCGATGGGGTCAACGTCTCGGCCTCAGGATTGTACCAACGTTGGTAGAGTATCTGTTCGGCACGACCTTCAATCTTCAAGACATTTTAGGCATGGCTTAATAAATGAATGCTGGCTGCTGCTGCAAAATCATGCTGTTAATAAATCCCCCAATCAAAAAAACAAAGTTTAGAGCCTTTCTCCTTTTGCCGACATCTGCGTCACGCACCAGGCGATCGCCCAGCGTCCTCCGCCGCCAGCTAGTGCGGGCCGCACCGGGTCGGCAGTGGCACACGGCTCCGATATGGCGGCGCGCCATATCAGCGTGTGTTTGGCGCCGCCACAAATGGCGCCAGTTAGTCGCGCGCTGCCTGCAAACAGCCAGCGCCAGCGTGCCGCGCGGCAGGTGACCTCTGCAGTCGATGCCGACGGGAATGTTGCGCTCATGTCTTCATCGGAGAGTTCACATTGACGTGATGTACACAGATCGGCACTTAGACGCCGGTGTGCAAGGAATGATGATGGTAGGATATGAACGGGTTCATTAATTGAATGGCATGCTCGGAATAGTGCTGTATGTACAGTGTCCATCTGTAACTATCCGTGGTCTCTGCAATATCCGCGTGCACACTGCACATGTCACCGTGTTGCACGATGCGCATGGCCTGGGGCGAGGCGGGGATGAAGAGGAAGCTGGGACCCAGAGTGGTGAATGGCATGTTGTGTCATACTGACAAACATGAACAACCGGCATTTCTCATTTCTGTGGGTTAATATTTATACTTGACATGTCGACTGGCGTAGTATCGTACAAAGGTTGTAATACCGCCCAGCGTTTGTAGCGGACCGGAATCATTTTGCTTTGTCGTGATGTATTTCGACCACACTTTATTTGGTCTATTCATGAGTATTTGTATGAATACGGCCATAGCAATTAGGTATCAAGATTTCACGAGCGGACCATTTAACAGGCTCCGTGGCAACTGGAATTGGTTTTCGCTATATGGTAGGCCCATTCTATCGAAATGTACATGGTGCCACATTCTGATTAAATTTGGTGCAGGTTGGAATTTTCTTCCCTCACCATAGCAATCCACGGACCAAACATATTCACGAGCGGGCGTTTTCAGTGTCCTCGCATGACAGCTATATTTGCAACTCGCAAGTATGCTATTATTTCAATGCCTGAGTTGTGTTCAAAGGTTATCTCGGACAATAGTGTAAGGCATTTTGTGATGAATACGGTGCGCCGAAAGTTTTGATAGTTTCTTGCTAAGTCTAGATTTCCGGGTCGTCTGCAGAGAAGTTCGCTTTACTTTCCTCATTATGAAGTTTTCAACCGGAATAAGGAAGAGAATCAGGCAATGCGTATCTTTGTATTCCTTACTCAAAGTGAATGCTAGGTCGTATCATGACTGATCTCCATGTATCAAGCAGTTAGGTGCTAAGAATTATTTTCATCTGTCCATATTCTGATAAGCCCATTCGCCAATCAAAGTGGTGACAACTGACAGATCCGCCAATTCTGCTGCGTCCAGCGTTCCATTCCAACATGCTGTATACTTGCACAGTTCTTCCTCAACCAATTTTATTAAGAAATACATCGTTAGAGCATGTGCAATTTATTTGAACAGTTCACGATGCATATTCATTCACATTTCCATCAAGAGATAAGGCATTTTGACATATATCTTTCCATGAACAAGACGTAAATACCCGTGGAAATCATATCATCCTTTCCGAAAACCCATACTACGCTGTTAGTTCTAGTTGCACAATGCACATAGCCCCTCGGCCGCAGAGGTGCAGTTTTATCGCTTAGCTTGCATTCCCTTGTGCACATATTTGCCAATCATATGCCGTACAGGCAGGTGTTTCGCTCACATCCCCTGCGTCGCTTAACCCCCGCCCCTGCTAGCACCCCCAAACCAAACCGACCGAGCCCAACACAGGGCATGGTGCATTGCCCTGTGTAGGTATAACGAAAGTGGGTGCACGGTCATTGTTGGGGGCGGGACGGGCACCTGGTGAGGCCCTGCCCCCCCCCCCCCCACACACACACACTTACAGATATCACACGGGAGGCTGAGCTTTCCGTAAACACAGCACAGGGTCCCGTTACTTACTTCGAGCTAACACAGTGACGTCCATGAGGGTGCAGAAAGGGGCCCGCTGCTGAGTTCAAGGTCAGACGGGCGTCCGTTTTCTGTGCATTGAACGTGGTTGGCGTTTCATGGATGTCATCGCCTTCCATGTCACTTCCGGGATATCGTACTTGTTCACATCGAAATGATTGATCATATAAAGCAATTACTATTGTTAGTGTTAGTTATGTTTGCAACGTGACAGCAATTTACCATCAAATCTTGAGAATACTTAGATATTTTCGTCACTTTTATAAGCATAAACCTGTAAGAACATATAATTTCGGAATGTTTGATTTCATAATCCAGAATTGGAGGATCAAAAGCATGCGATAGCATGCTTTTGCATCCGGAAATTCCCATTGGTGGGTCGCTGAAAAAAAGTTCGGCTGAACCTTGGGCTGAACCTGTTTGTCAGTGAGTATGTGAGTATGTGAGTGAGTTTGTCCAAGCTTTTTTGGACCTGGACTCAAAATGGGTGGACCGATCGGGACGAAAGTGGGACCGTTTGATTCGTCTCCGGCGAGGTAAACTTTTGGTGCTGGCCTCGGTTCGCTCGGTGCTTCGTGGCACATGCTATTCCGCTTCAAAGTTTCGGTGACACGAAATTTTTTGTCAAGGCTACAGGTCAACCCGAGGTCACGGGCAAAGCCATACTGGCGGGACACATCGGTAACACCTTGAACCAGTTTCCAGGGGGGTCACCGTCTGCGAGGGGTGCAGGCTGCACGTGCTGGGGGCGGAAAACCGTTTTGACGTGAGGTCCTCTGGCTCAAAGAAATTTTAAGCTATCAACCTCAAAATCGGTTCAATGGTAGTCCCAGGCAAGGCCTCCAAAATAATGCACATTTGGTTGAGCTAAACTCTGTGGTGCATGAGCTATGCACGTGCAAGCCGATTGCACCCCTTCGTACGTTGCCACGCCTGCAGGGTAAACGGCAGCTCTAAGTGGTTCATAACTTGCAGGTCATAAGAAGAATACATTTGATCGCGACATTCCGGCGAGATAATATCCGAGGGGTGCAAGCTGCGCGTGCGGGGGGCGGATAACGGTTTTGACGAGGGATCCTCTGATCCCGGGAAACGTCGATCTAGCGACACAAAAGTCGGTAGACGGATAGAACTAGACACACGCTACAGGGTGTCATGAAAATGACTGCACTGGGGTGCCTGGGGCATGAACTATGCACGTGCAGTTAATTCATATCTTACTGTAGGTAGATATCCACACCAATTTCGCGTGCTTTCAAGCATTTTTGGGATGTTTCGGTTGGTTTCAGGTTCAGTCCAAGCGAGTCCTGGCGAGTCCAAGCTCAGTCCGCTCAGTCCAAGCTCAGTCTGGGTTTCGGTGGTTTGGTCCGGTGTGTGCCCTCAGTACCGTTCCTCCAATTCTGGCCCAAGGCAACGCAAGAGCGCTGCCGGCATCTAGTCCTTAGGAATCGGTGTTGTAACTTGTAGGTTATAAAATCCCTTAGAACTGTTCGGCCCCATGCGAAATTAAAGGTAGTGTGCCAGCTTTCCTGGACCGTATGGAGTTAATGGCCCAGATAAGGAGAACCGGATTTTTAGAACTTATCCATACCTTCAAAACTCATGGAAACGTCTTAAATTCTTCAAATTTTGAGTACCCCAGTGCGAAATTCGCCCCGACGGGTTGTCGGTCGTACCCCAACCACATTTCACACCACTATGAACAATAAATGCACACACTGAAATCGCTATTACCGATATGCTCATCCAATCAAGTTTCGATAAACCCGTTCATCATCACCTCCTGCGGTTTCGAACACGCCTGTTAGGTGGTGCGGTAGACCGCGCCCAAAGCCAGGGCCCCGGTAACGTGAGTTAGCCGAGTCGGGGCAGCGTGCGCTGACCCAAGCCGGGGCCGCGCGTCCTCCCGGTGTCGTGTGATAGCCCGGGGCTGCCCGCGGGGATGCGGTAGACCGCGCCCAAAGCTGCGGCCCCGGCTTGGGTCAGCGCACGCTGCCCCGACTCGGCTACCTCACGTTACCGGGGCCCTGGCTTTGGGCGTGGCTTCTGCTCATACTTTGTGGTGCGGTGGTGGTGCGTCGGGCCGCGCGCTCTGACTTCGGCCAAGAAAAATGCGTCAGCTGATCATTGTCATTTCTGCCACTTGCGTGTGGTGGAGTGCGTCTAGCGGCTGGTAGGGACAATTATGAGACAGTGCTTGCGCGCTTTATACAAACTGAATTATCGCAAGGCTACTAAATCAAATTGTATTTGCGCATTGGTATCTTCGGTCTTTGTTATTGTTTGAGCTGGCCGGCTGCCGACAGGTGTGCGGTTATTTATTTTTGTTTTCGGCAGGAAGAGACATCTCATAATTTCGAAGAGACTACTTTTTTGCTATTGACACGCTCAGAAGATTGATTGAAAATGTGACGAGATGAAAATATTCCAAGATGAAGTGAAAGTCAAGTAGCAAGAGCCCGAAGAGGTTGTTGTCGCAAGTATTAATTGAAATAGATAGGTATGGAAGTGCATCTATATAAATCAATCGCCAATGGATAAATACCAATTGAGTTTATTGGTGGTTTATTGGTTTCCCAAATCCCAGATGGATCATTGTAGACCGTGTTTGATTGAATCAGACTGCAAAATTCATGCTGGATTTACCATGTTCTAGGTAATTTAGTTATGTTCACATAATAATACAGTAAATGTAACTGGTTCATCTTCAGTTTAACATGGTATTGATGTTTGCAACCATGTGTTTTGTCGGATTAATCAGAAATAAAGTTTGACTTGCATGCTGACTGCTGAGTGGCGAGCTTTCTGCTTTGGGCACCAAGTTTGATGTTGTGCCCACACTCATAATGATAAATTATTTCTATATCAATATTTAGTTAATGAAACGTCATCTAAAATGGAAGTGAAATATTACTATTCAATATCAATATTTATTGTCAATATTCTATAGGATTAAAGCAAAAAACATAGTGACCTACCTTCTGATGTTTGTGAGATGTACCATAATTGAATATCAATATAAAGGGGCTAGCTTGTATTTCCTGGTCTAATGTCGGCTGTTGAAGGTCCTGCTTCAATCAATGATAGTGCCTACTTGCCTGTCATGCATTGAAATTGGTGCAGTGTTTCAATACATCTGTGAGAACTGAAAGTTGTCTGTGAGAATGTCAAGGTGGATCAGAGTTTGTGCATTGCAACCAGAATAGGAATTGAGACCCTGGAAGACCATTATCAGCACTAGTAAATTCTAACACTGAACACTCCTTCCAGGCTCCAAAACTTGGTTGTCATAATCTTTGTTATTTTTATGCCAAAACCAAAATGAATTTCAGTTTTACATGTGGTGTGTGCAGCTTCCAGCCAGCAGGAAATGCATTTCAAAATGAGCTATGGTTGACTTCATTCAGACCCCATTACACTTCCATAACATATCATGAGTCATGAAGAGAGAGCAACATTATTCATCATTACGATATATGAATGCTTTTATTTATCTTGCCAGGGTCCAAGCGTGCACGTATTTACCTACTATCAATGCACATGACAGAACAGATAACATCAGCTCGTCAAACACATGATACCACACGTATCAGGAGTCTACTGTTATTCTTTGAAAATAAGCCTATCCATGAACACCTTGATAAACTGCTTGGCAAACCCAATAAGTACTTGTGGCTATGACAAAGGTGCTTGCAGAATCATAACCAAACTACTGTAAGTTGTAACAATAATAATCCCTGTTTTCTCTTGCTTTTTTCCATTTCAACTCGGATCTTCATTTAGGTACAATCATCTCTGGAATACCTATTTATCACACATTTCAATCCATCTTCTGATGAAAACAAAAAATAAAATAACCAACGCTCACTCACTCCTCATCTCAATCTTAAAATATCTCAATCTCATCACATTTTCCACCAATCTTCTGAGTGTGTCAATGTCAAAAAGGTAATCTCTTCGCAATTGTGAGTTGTCTCTTCCTGTCGAAAACAAAAATAAATAACAAACGCACATTGGCAGCCAGCCAGCCCAAACAATAACAAAGACCGAAGATACCAATGCGTAAATACAATTTGATTTAGTAGCCTTGCGATAATTCAGTTTGTATATAGCGCGCAACCACTGTCTCATAATTGTCCCTACCAGCCGCTAGACGCACTCGTGTGGTGGAATGGGGTCATAACTTAAGAGACGGCTTTTTCATATCAATTATTTTACATAAAATCATATTTCAAGCCATAAATAATGTTCGACAGCCAAATAAAAGAAACAATACCAATACAGGCTTACAGTTTAAGGCTCGACATTGTGTTGTCTACGATTAGACAGCTGATAACTCATTCCCGTACGTCGTAACTCTATAATGACCTTTGCTTATTGTCACATGTGCGCCGCATTCGCGATTGTTGCCGACGCCTGTTTGCAGGTCAGCCCACTACAGTTGTTATACATATCGAAAAACCGATAAACTTTTAGGCGAAAAAGGCACTATTCCAGGCCCATTTTTGATTTTCTTTGCGATATTAGGTAAAAACAGAAGCTTCTTATCGTAGGAAAAATAAAATGGGAAATCTTTCAAAGGTGGCACACTACCTTTAAACAGTCAAGCGAACGGGAAAACGTAGCTCTGCCCACCACAAAATACCGTAAATAAAGTAGAAATATAAATAAAACAATTCCCAAAAAGATTGAAAAATTTCAAACTGAGCATATAATTTTTTATGATATGGTATCGATAAATTGGACCGAACGAGACGAATGCCCAATTTATCTTGCTTGTCATTTTAGAGGCATACCTACACTGCAGCAATCTTGTTTCCTCCGTACCCAGATAAAGCTGCACCCCAGCCCGCTGCTCCGAGTGACCGTGTGCTGACGCCTCTGTCCTCTCTCTGTGTTCCAGCTCCCCCAGAGCAGGTTGGTGGCTGAGAGGAGGTCTCGGGAGCGCACTGAACCGCCGGCCAGCATGGAGCTCAACTTTGTCACCCAGCGCGTGATGGCGCTCTGCTTCCCGCCGGGAGTAGACGCTGATACGTACCGGGCCAACCTGCGAGAGGTCGCGCAGATGCTGCACAACAAGCACGGCCACAACTACATGGTAAGTGTCGGCACGGTCTTCTGGCCCAACTAACAAGTGAACTGATAACTGACGGGGCTTAGTGCTGCCTTTAGCATTATCGGTAATCTTTAGCTACAGCATAATGATTATGCCCTCTTTTGCTTGTGACGTAGCCCAGGCTTTCCAACCGTAATTCAAACTTTGCCTCCCACAAAATATCAATTTCAGGGTCAGAAATATGTTCATTTACGCGTATTTTTGTTATTTTCTCGGTGTATATACCTAGTTCCAAACTTTTAATTGAGCTGCAGTCATTGTTATGGTCCACGATGTCACGGTCTCTATCAAACGACAAATTTCAAGTGGCGTCCCCTCCCCTCACCACCGCCCGGAGTACCATCTGACCTCACCTCGGGGGCAGATCTTCAACCTGTCGGAGCGGCGTCAGGAGCTCTGCGAGCTCAACCGACGAGTATCCGAGTTCGGCTGGCCCGAGACACTGGCGCCGCCGCTCGACAGGCTCTGCTCCATCTGTAAATCCATCGACAACTGGACCTCGGACGACCCCAACAACGTGGCCGTGCTGCACTCGCGCGGCGCCGACGGCAGTAGGGATAGGTGGGTATCGGAGATGAGCTAAACGAACATGGAACAGAATAGAGACATTGCACATTTTTCTAGACTTGGCATGATTATGTGTCTGTGTTTGTTTTAGTGTTTATTTTGCACTTGTGTGATGCAGTCTTCGTAACACCATTGCGTGGGTTTGACTTGAATGGAGATCTGTGTGGTGCGGGATCAATTCTCTGCGACTCTCCTCGATATCGCATTATTTGTCTCGGAGCAAACCTCAGATAGCACGCTTCTGGCATAGCTCTTCACTTCATCTGGCACTCTGGTGATGTTAGAACACAATACGACTTCAGTAGGAGGTTCGTTTTGTTTTTCTGAGCTGCTTTGTTGTATGTAGTGTCTTATCTCTCCTTGGTCCGAAAAAACTGGCAACGGAAAACAATTACCGGCGTGCGTTCTTGGCAGGGGACCCGTGTGACTGAAGGCACTTTTTGTTTTTCATTTCGCACTGCAAGGAAAATAGCATGCTCTGGGGTTGGTGTTTTCTTGTCGCAACAATTCTCTTCAATTTTTCCATTTTACTAAGGCTTCGGTTCGCGGAAGTGAATGAATATGAGCTTTTCCAGTCTGACGTCTTTGGCCTCAGACTGCGCTCGATGAAAATGTCCCGAATCCTCGTAATGGGCAGTATACAACTGCAAAGCTTCAGAGACGGCTGTCACTCTTGCCGAATTTTCTACGAATCGTGGCCGCTAAGCAGTTCCCGGGATTTATTCGTCGGAGATGGTATTATAACGGAAATGGAATACCGATGCAGCTGCCAGATGACGGAAGTCATATTCGATGCCGCCAAATGCAACGACTGCCCAGCATCCAACGAATCTGAATGTGCTTCTAGTTTCTACTGTAAGGCAGATATGGTCTTTTCACGGTTTTAAGGAAAATAGCCTTTAGTTTGCGGCAATTCATAGCGATGAAACTTCGGTACGTAGTTCAAGCTAAAAGAGTTATTCACAAGCATTTACTGTCCCACAAGCTCATTTGTTGAATATGCTTTCGTCCGTCTCATTAGGCCCAGCGAAGCGCTCTTGAGATGGGCGTACGTGCTCACTTGACTGTTCTGACTCCTGTGTATATGTGTGTGTGCAGCGGCGGCTGGGACCGGATCGGCGTGGTGGTCAGCGCGTACATCCACTACTCCAACATCTGCAGTCCCGACCAGGCGCTCGACAGGTTCGCCATGAAGAAGTTCTTCGACGACAAGATCCGACGGCTAGACCACCCGAGCCAAAAACGGTGCGTGCCTGTCGCGTTTAGTTCCATGCCTTTTTAGCAGATAACCTGATGTATAAATGAAAATCGTAGCTGCTTTTACCCTTCATTTTTCATGTTTTTTTTATCTGACTTATAATATAGAGAATGGAAATTCTACCATTCACTTAATTTGTTAAGTGCTGCTGTTTTATGAAATGAACTTGCTACGAGATATTGTCATTCCTGGTTGAGGCACTGCACCACTCGTACTGTTCTCTCTGGCCGTCTGTTTTCTGGGGTGCTTATATGTGTTCGCGACTGGCTGCTCTCGTTATCGGGCCAGTTGGGCTAATTCAATCACAAGACACCATGTCGTGCCCTCAGGGGATGGGAAAGGAGAGAGAGAGAGAGAGAGAGAGAGGAAGGGAGGGGAGGGAGAGACTCTGGCTGGCCTCCAGGAGGCGACATGATTAGTCCCGCTCACGACCTATCCTGTTTTCTCTCCTCTCCTCTCCTCTCCTCTCCTCTCCTCTCCTCTCCTCTCCTCTCCTCTCCTCTCCTCTCCTCTCCTCTCCTCTCCTCTCCTCTCCTCTCCTCTCCTCTCCTCTCCTCTCCTATCTCCTCTCTCCTCTACGTTTTTCTCCCCTCCTCTCTGTTCCTCTCTTCCCCTCCCGTGTGGCGTGAATTATCCGTTACACGTGCGGATGCACGCAGTTCTCCGGGCTTGGCTAATGTTCATGGTTGGTTATCTGATGCAACGCTATACGAGTGGACAGGAACTCTTGACATTTCTTGCCGGCATAAACCATTGAGACTCGTACTCTAGATAATCGTATCAGTTCGGTACACAATCCCTTTATCTTCTGTAAGCTTATTTCCGATCTGATAGGTCATGCAGTTTGTCAATCACAGAACGTTCACTATAGTCATGTTGATTGTTGATGTCCCAGACCTGTGAGCGTTAACTGCACTGCATGAATTACGCTCAATCGACCAAATGATCTGCAGCTTTCTCGCAGTCATACAGTTTTGGTAGCCTCGCCGATCAGGTAAATGCGTAGCCGAACAGATTCGATAGCTCGGCAATGGGACGAATATTGGCGCATCTGTGATATGACATCATGCCTGAATCGGGATGCCACACCTCTTTATCATTCCTCAAGCTGCACATCACCATTTACATCATCCTCACAAGGTTTGTCAATTGCATGATTCGGACCATCGGCGTCACACTCAACCATGACAGCACACCTGTGCGATGCCATGGGTGTGTGCTGTGATGTCATATCACACCTAAGTGTGTCGTGTGATGTCATGAGTTATAGGTGACCTAACATCGAGCTCGTCACGAGGTATCACATATGTTCATAACAACTCCTCACCTGACATCTCACATGATACACAATTAATACATGTATCGTCCTAATCCTCATGTATCATGTGACTCATCTCACTTTACCCGACTCCACCCCTTCCTTCCACAGGTACGTCAACTACTTCGCTGGCCTGCTGTCGGGTCGGATCCAAATCAACAGCGCACCACTGAGCCTGCACCACCTGGTGCTGGTGGGCGCGCCTCAGCTACGGCCAGGCGGGGGATGTAGGGTGTTCGTACGCCTGTACCAGGGCATGGTGCCCCTCTGGACGTCCGGGGTGTACACTGTGGACGACCGCGCCAAGTACACCGTCATCAGGTGAGGGTGGAATGGGGACGTTGATTGATGGACGGGGAAGGGACGGGAAGGGTGTGTAATAGCTGGAATGGTTCACGGTGGGGGTGTGATTCGATAGTGCAGGGATGGTGAATGGTGATCCGCGTTTGCAACCAAAGTTTTCCCGTTTGCTAGATTTTTGCTGACACTAGCAGTTCAGCTGCACGAACTGCAGATGGGCTTCGCTTCCCGTGGTGTAGTCGTTTCTTTAGTATTGCCCTTACAATGATATATTGTAAGGGCATATCCTCTATGCTGACTCGCCAATCTCCGTTGCCCTGTGTTGCCCTGTGCTGCCACTGCCCTGTGCTGACCTCCCTCTCCCCGTCTACAGTCCTGAGGTTGTACTCCAGCTGCGGGGCGACATCCTCATCAAGTGCTACCACTGCGAGTCGCCCTCCGAGCGACAGGTGGTCTTCAGAGTGCAGTTCCACACGTGTGCCGTCTCCGACGACGTCCTCAGCTTCCCCCGACAGGATCTGGACGACGCCTGCGACGGTAGGTGGCGCTTTCTGGTGGTGGATTGGGCGAACTAATAGTTACTAATAGTGCTGCTCCCTACCGCTGCAGTTTGAAGACGCTCTGAGCGGTCGTCAATTGTTAAATAGCGATCTGCATTTAGCTTCTACTCAGTGCGAACTGCGAGCAGGGTGTAGCTATAGAAGCGTTAGACGGCGCAAACGTAGCTTTGGCTTGTTAGGAGTCTTGTATCTTTGCTTTTGATGCGTCATGTCCGTGAGTATGGTTCATATCTTCCGCACATCCTTGTTCCTGAGTCCTGACTCATTGCTCATAGTGGCAACTAGCATTAGTACTTGACTTCCGCCGTTGAGTCACATCCGGTCACTGTTGGCTAGGCCTCACTTCCGCAGTCCATGGAAACAATCTCGTGCAAAGTCTGGAACTCGAACGTAATGTCGTCCAACGACATCTGAGATCGTGAATGTCCACGTTAAAAAACCGACTGCATGAAATCGTACGCATTATTCCAGCGCAATTGATAAGAAAGTAGCCTAATTTGCTTAACTTCAATCGAACCTACTGTAAGTCCACAATCATTGCCGATTCCACGGGGCCACGAGCAACTATTTCCGGCGTCTGCTACCCGTCCCGCCCGTGATAACACCCGTGATTCCGCCCCCAGCGGTTAATTGCTTACTGCTTCCATACATTGTCTATAATGTATACCCGGGTCCCCTCTCCCCATACCCCTCCCTGGCTCCGCTCAGCTGAGTTGGACCTCTCTGGCGGCCCCTGATGGCCCATCGGTGGGGCTAGTGCACCTGAACCTTCCGTCTCGGTGGCCGGGTTTATTGGTGCACCTGCATCCGGTTAGGAGTCGCACCACTGAGCCCGGCTGGCGGACCGTGCCAGTTGAGAGGGATGCTGTCGGGGCGGCGGGCTGTCGGCTGTGCGAGAGCGGGCTGGGGCTGTCGAAGAGGTGTGTGATGTACTGTGTGGATATGTGCGATAGGAGAGGTGTGCACTGTATAGTGTGTACTGTGCTGTGCAGATAGGTGCTGTATGAGAGGTGTGTGATGTGCCGTAAAGGGGTGGGTATAGCAGTAGGGTGTGTGTTGTGCGGTGGGGGCGGGGGATAGGAGCACGGCGTGTGCTGTGCATTAGGGGTCTGAGCTGCTCGTGGATGTGCTGTGATCTCGTATGTCCTCGTCTGTGATGTTTGTGCATGGGATTTACTCGTGGGTTCATCTCTTCGCCAACGTAACATTTCACCATGCTTACATTTTATTCATCCTCTCCATCCTATTCTTAATTAAGTTATATACCTTTCACTCATCTAACCGTGCTTCTGTTTTATCTCCGTCAGACATGCGATTCCCGCTGGACGGCGGTGTGGAGCTGCACTTCTCCCCCACCAGTCTGGGCCAGGACCAGGTGGCGGCTCCGGTACATCTGGACCGCACCCCGGACCCGGTCCAGCGGTGGGACAGCTACGTCGAGCTCCGGACGGGACCCGCCGACCTGCCAGGTACTGTCCGGGCGCTGGGTATTGGAGGGGGTGTGAGGGGCTTGTCAATGGGAGGAGAAGTAACGATGATATATTGGGTGAAGTGTAAACGGGTATATCACCCGGAGATCAAACTGTATTTTTATATTTGTGTGTTCTTTGTTCACCCTGGTAAGATCTCGGGTTTGTTATGTGATGCTTTCAAGCATGTGTTAAGAAGCATTTGCTCAAACCAAAAGAGTCAAATTCCTTTATACAGGGCCGGGAATAACGTGTTTCCTATGCGCATGACTGATTATTTGGATGGTTAATGATCCAACAAGATTAATAGTCACACCGTTAATTATTACCGGCAACATAACAAATTAAGCTGCTAATCTGGCTTGACAACATTAAAGGTTGATCAATTATTTTTTACAGCGGTGATCTTTTTACGCGTCATCTCTTCTTGGTGACGTTTATCTAATGCTCAACAATTCATTAAGCAGGATAATCCCTTGGAAAACCATTATGTGGGCCCACCAAAAGCCGCATTGGCGCGGGCATGCACGTCACCGTTTTCAACGCATATCATGAAACAGATTTCTGTAAAACAAAAGTGTATTTAAGCCGCAAATATTGCCAGGCTTGGAAAAGTGTGTCGCTTATTATAGTATTTCAGTTGAAAGCGATATTAATTCCAAATATGGCTTAGGTCCATCAACAGCTGACACTTGAAAGCGCCACTGTTGCGCCCAGCTGTAGCACGCAAGCGTTTGATATAAACACGCACCACTTCACATGACCAGCGACTGAACGCTATCGGCGTGCATCGTGTCAGCTCCTTGTCCATCACAAGTGGACGAGTTCTAATGCACCTCCGAAAATGGTGACAGTGGCTCCTGTGAATCCAAAACATTCATGAGACGCTCCGACATGCGACGGAGCTGTGACTGGTCCGTTGTTTTATGTGGGACGCTCACTACCCACGCGATCCTGGCACATGCACGACCTGCGATAAATGTTAGATAACGCGGCATTCGGTTAGATTTAAGAAGTTCTCGCCGCTGGCTTTATTGAGCTATATGCATGTGACTATATGGAGCTATCATTTTTTTTTATCCATTACTTTATTAACTGAACAAGATAAGAAGCCATGGTAAGGCTAAAACAAACACACACGTGTCACAAATGAACAGGTGTGCCGTACCCCCGTACCCCTTCCCCCGATGTCGCCGCCCCCGCCCTGCAGCCCGTCTCTGTGCAGTCTGGTTGCGCTGGTCGGACTCCCCCGCCCACATGTAGCAGTCCCATCTTTCTCCGAGCGGCTGTGATCTGACCTATCACCGTAATCTGACCTTCATCTGACTGTGGTAAACAGTCGAGGGGTGGGCGCGACTGGCGGTAGCTAACGGTGTAAGGGAACTGACGGGAAAAAGGAGAGAATAGGAGACTGAAGGGGAAGAAGGGACTCAGCGAGGCGGAGAGAGGTGCCGATTATGCAGACAAAGTAGCCCCCTGGACAGCACAGGGCGGTACCCGGTGGCCAGGTGCTGGGTGATGTCCGGTTCTGCCCTCATGGGCGGACCGAGGGCGGCCGTCCACCCATGACCACAAAAGGCCTCTCATGGCCAGCGCTGCACAGCGAACTGTAGTCGAAGCCGAGCTGTGTTCGCTCCTTCAACAAGCATTGGAGCGTTACAGGGTGAAAGGTCCGTGTAATCCCTTTGACTTCATGGATGGTGGTCTGCCAATAAATCCCCGAATGACAAGGTCTACACCCTTGATGTCGGATGTCTAGGAGATGGCGTATTATCGCGGCTCACTGCGCCCAGTCTGGGCGGCATCGCTTCCAGGTGCTGTTGGCTGCTGCCGGTCTGTAGATAACTTTTATCAGGTGCTCTTGAACCATCAAAACAATGTCTGCCTAGCGTATTGATGCGTTTAGCTTACACTGTGCTTGCTGGCGCTGAACTGTCCATCCTAATGCTACCGGTTGGACCATCTTTACTCGTACGCATGGTCACTTCCTGGCATTCACGGCTGCTCACATTGGTCCTTGGCTGCATTACCCTGTGGTCTTTCGGCGCCAGTTTACATTTTCTTCGATTGAAACTCCCCCGTCAAAACCGAACTGTAGCTCTTACCATCACGATATTATTGACTTTGGTCTCATACACGCTGCTGAAAGACGTCTCAGTTATTCCCGGCAGACACTGCCTTGCAAGAGTGGCTCTATTCTGGACTCGGGCTTATGACAACAAACACTTGGGAGCAGGGTTGTATACGACTCAATCAATAGCAATCAATTCAATCACGACAAATTTGGGAAACCAATCAAATCAATCAAGTCAGAGCAGTTTTCAGGAATTGATTCAATCGACTCAAACGCGACAATGAAAGGAATCAATCAACTCAATTAAACGACTCAAACCAAGACATACATTAGGTTTTTTGCCCCACCAACTTGGAAAAGTGTCCATAGCAGTCTGGTGTACCTACCAACCTACCTACCTACAGAAGAAACATAAAAATATTGTCATTTAAAATTATAAATTGCCATACCATTCAAAGTTTCTATGTAATAAGGAAGGATACCTAGCAATGGACAGGTGGATCATGATATTGAGGTTCAATGGGTAGAATTGGAGCAGAAGTTTTATTTAATGGGTGCAAAATAACCCAGTAGTTACTCGCCCCTTAACCCAAATCACCACCTTTCACCTAAAAGTTGTCAATTTAATTTTGGCCATATTCCAACTCCATTTACACTAAATATCAGATATTGCAGTTGAAAGTTGGCTGCTCGGAGTTTGGCAGTGTTCGTGATTTGGCCATTTACCCTACACTATGTCTATTTTAATGGATAATATGTATCAATAACATATTAACCATAGGGAAATAGAAATAAATATATTACCTGCATGTGACGGTTTCGGTTAGAAAGAGACTGACGGGCAGCCTGAAAAATCTTTCCACACACACGTGACGTTTAGGATGTAGAAGGCCCACAGAGGGGGAGAAGCTCCAAATGTCACGTGACTAATATGCCCTTCGGCGCCCTGTTTTCACCGGCGTCCTTTGAGGGACGACGGTGAAAACAGGGCGCCTGGGGCGATTTGATCAAGGTTCGTGAAATTCACACGTGACGTTTAGGATGTAGAAGGCCCACAGAGGGGGAGAAGCTCCAAATGTCACGTGACTAATATGCCCTTCGGCGCCCTGTTTTCACCGGCGTCCCATTTGAGACGTGGGATGGGGCTAAGCTTTTATAAATCCTTATTCTACGTCTTTTGATTTTTTGGTAAGATGACGTCATTGATTATCATGTAGTATGGTAGATCATCATAAAATAAATCGGTTGTACAACACCAATTTCGTTTTAATTATTATTTCATTTGAAATAAAACCACTTAATTATATTCGGTAAAATATTTTAAGGGAAATGAAATATATTAAATATGTTATGCTTAGGCTCTCAGGAGAAAAGGATCAACAAACGTTCTGCTGCAAATTAAACAATGCAGCAAATTAGCTATTAATTAGTTACGTAAACGTAATTAGCGAGACAAAAACGGCGCTTTTGTTTCAGTTATTTTTGTAGGGGTTTCAGACATTTGTAGAGTTCAGTGGGTTGTTTCTGAGGAGATGTGGAGATGTGAATTATTAATTAATCACACTTTATTAGTATATAGGGCCTTGCACTTTATCATCTGGATTAAAAAAAACGTTTCCTGCTGAGTGCAGAAAGGTAGGTAGGTGCATCGCCAGGTTCTATCACCAAGATTGGAGCAGTTATTGCAGTTGAAAGTCAAAGTTGGCTGTTCATGTTTAGGCCCTGTTCTTTATTTGGCCATCTACCCCATATTGCAGTTGTGATGACAAGCAGTTTTCAGTGTAGTTTTGTGATCTATGATGTCATCAATTATTGTCATTATTTTTCGTCAACTAAAACTTATTTGAACTTTCCATTCAATCGACTCAATCATACGAGTCACTCTAATTTTCGGGAATCAAATCAGTCAACCAGTCGCTAAAGCCAAACGAGTCAGTCAACCAGTCATCTCGAAAAGTCAATCGACTCAATCCAATCAACTCAAAATACGCGTTGAAACAAATCAATCAATTCAATCGACTTGATTGGTATACAACCCTGCTTGGGAGCTCACTACAAAAGTAAACTGAGCCGTGCCTGGTGAATATCAAGTGTACTGAAAGAGTTCCCTGGTATTCCCGAAGAAGAATAAATAATCCGGTCGGTTCATAAAGGCAGGCGGATCTTTTTCGAATGGTGCAAAAAGTGTTAGATGTTTATGGGCGATGGAAATATGCTGACAAAGTTAGAACGATGAAGTTACATAAGCTTCGCTAACTCTGGTCGGTTGCCATAGCATAGTTTCACGCCCGAAATCGCCACGCACTTTCAGAATGTGGATCGCTCATGATTGTTCAATACAATACAATACAATACAAAATATGCATTTTAAAGCGCGACCTGCATGCTGTGGTGACAGTTACAGCGGCTTGGCCCGCCTCCGCACGCCATGGTCCATGCAGCTCAGTCTGGCTTCTCTGCCCATGAAAACTCAGCTCTATGGCCCATTGACTATTCAGCTTCCCTCCCGCCCTATGGTAGCTCCGTTCGCTTCCGTTAGCTGAAGGTGCAGCTCAGTCCGCCTCTGTATAGCTGAAGGCAGCCCAGATCGCCTCCGTATAGCTGAAGGCAGCCCAGATCGCCTCCATATAGCCTCGGCAGCTCAGTCCGCCTCTGTATAGCTGCCGGCAGCTCAGTCCGCCTCCATATAGCCTCGGCAGCCCAGATCGCCTCCGTATAGCTGAAGGCAGCTCAGTTCGCCTGCGTATATCTGATGTCAGCTCAGGTCCTCAGTTAGCCGGCAGTTCAGTTCCCCGGCCCGCTGGCAGCTCAGTCCGCCTCTGTATAGCCTCGGCAGCTCGTCCGGCGCGGGGAGTGATGGCTGCCGGCCCGGAATCCATCACTGTCTCTGTGTTTTGTGGAGGTCGACGGGTCCGATCGGCGCCGG